TAAGGACAAGTTTAGCAATTTCTGTTTTGTGCCACTTTCTGGCAAAGTTATTCAGCATGTAGACTTATACTCACTGTGTAAGTCTGCACTTCACTCTACCATTCATTCCAACATTCTGATAACTCCTGAATGTATGTTAATTTTCTGCATTTAAAACATCTTATTGCACCTTTTCTGCCATCTCTGACTGGTCATAGCTTGAAAACAATTTGAAAATCTCAGTGGATTAACAATTTTTCTTTCAATTTCAGTATGAAAATACTCGGACAGAGTCCCACAGAAAGAGATACACATAACCACAAGGACGAGCAAGGTCTCTCTTTCTTCTTAAACTTGCACAAAAATTATCTTCCAAGTCCACAAATTGGAATAAACTTTGCTCTCTATGGCAAATGTGTTCACTGGACAGTACCACAGCCTATTGCTAACAAATTAATTAAACTGATATTTGTCAAACAGACCTAATTCCATGTGCTTTTAGCACCACAAGGGAAAACAAGACACTACCTTCTCTGGGAACAAGTATCTTATGTTCAGTCACATAATAGTAAACATGTAATGCAAGCTGCACGAAAACCTAAAGGGAAAAGATGACCTCACTGTACAGAGACAAAACCACAGGTGCTTAAGTATGAAGTCTATTAAGTCTAGATACCTCCAGACATTAGTGAAACCAAAGGCTAACTGAACCCTGCTGAAGATGATGTAAGTTAGGTGACAATAGTTAGGTAGACGCCTTGTTAGCCACCATTTTAACTGTAGCCTATTGAGATTATACTCATGTTGAGGACAGCACTATAATGAAGTGCTACAATCCAAGCACATCTACACAAGCTTAACAGTAAAAAGCAGAAATGGGAGGTTATCAGCTGAGTTCCAGTTGAGGACTGTGAGGAACATGGAGGCAGGCCTCTTTTACACCTAAAAGCTGCTCTAGTGTTTAGCGTTAAGCCATACTTGCCAGTCAGAGACGCTGATACTTCAGCCAACTGGGCTGCTGACTGTATACCAACAGCCTGATGCACATCTCTAGAGGCACCTTGCATTACAGGTTCTTATAATATTCTACAGTTCTCTCCCGCTGACCGAGACATCTCCTTTTTGGTTGTGCACATACCTGAGGTACATAGCCTGTCTCCATCATGAGAAGATGTACTAGGACAATCAAGGCATCAGTGGCACTGGTACACTCAGCAGAAAGGTAGAGCACCTCTAAGGAATGCGGAATCTCTCCGTCAGCAGCCTCACTGCACAGCATAGGTTCGGAAGGATAGGAACCAGCACCTTCATCCAGATCGGCATCTTCTGGGACTAATCCAGAAGGAAATTCTAGGCTGGATCCTGCCTTCAAGAGATCACAAAAGATACATGCAGAAAATTACAGTATCAGTATTACTGGTCTGTCTGGCAGTCTTCGTGGGCACCAGGTCTACACTACAGATCTCCCATGTAACTTTTACAGTCTCAATTCATCTCCATTTCCTAGCATCCCACCTGGAGACTGGGATTATATACACAGCCTCTGTATTTTTTCAATATTTATAATGCAAGTCTTTAATAAAAAAAGGTCTGTCGTTTTCTTGCCAATTGATAATAACTTATAAAACATTCATTGGAATTCTTGCAACGCTTACAGGAACAATTACTGTGGTACTTCAGCATGCATAGCAAGAAACCAACATCATTAACTCAGACTGTTCACAAATACAATAGGCTTAAGTAGCTATAAGAATCATTAACAGAATGCATCTGCTGACATTTCAGAAAGATTGTGGCTTTATTGTTGTTTCCTTTCTTGCACTGGCTTGCATGCCCACAGCACCAATGTACTAGGGACACTTTACTCCTGGAAGAATCTATGGGACAAGGATCCAACTATATTCTCCTTCACTACTCAGAATTTTTTGGATACTAAATCTTAATTCCTATACTTTGAAACAATGCTTTATACATACATTTAGCAATGTTTCTCATAAAAAGGTTGTAGTAAGTTATAATTTTTTTTTTTACAACTAATCCAAAATCAAAGAACAAATAAGCATATTCTCAAGCTCCTGTCTAGGAAGGGACAAAAATCATATAATGAGATAGGCACCAAGCAGCATGGCACCTAGGGTCTCTTCTTGGAAGACTACTTTCACCACGGGACAGATTGCATCGGGCAGATGCAGTTATCTGTTCAACTATTCTACCTACAGGCACAAACAAAGCACTGAATAATATGCAAAAGACATGCCTATTAACTGGAAATAGGTGTGTGGGTTCATACAACAGTACACTTCTGAAGCACTGGCAGGAGCCACCTGTCTAACTTCATGCACAGGATAGACAGATCTATCATTCCAAGCAGACCACCTGAATCATAGAGAACTGTTGTAGCCATGAGAAAAGAATCACCCACTCAACTTGTGTCAGTTCAGTATTTGCTGCATTTCTGTGGTACCTGAAGTAATTTTTTTCAAGGAAGCGCTGAGGCAGCTAATACTCATAACTTCCTTAAACAAAGTGCATGTTCCAGCAAAAGACATGCAATTCTGTAAAAATATAAAACCCAAAACATCTCAGGATACCTGTCAGAACTGGGACATAACTAGTACATGATGAACACAGACTTCCATCCAATAACTGGCAAATATCAGACAATCATAAGGAGGCAAATATTCTGAAGAGATTCTTTGTTATGCAGTGCATCACCTGATGTAAGACACCTCATTTTTTGTCTTGTGTCATACAAGCCCATTGTCAATGTGCTTACCCTACTGTCACTCTTCTGAGCTTCCACTTGAGCTTTCTGGTCGTCAGACTGTTCATTCTGCCTTTCTTCTTTTGGACTGTCAGCTGGACTTCTGGGAGTCAAGGTGGATGTCTCACGACCATTCTGAAGTGAGGGAGGACTTGAAGATGAGGCAGGAAGTAGGCTGGATTTGGCGTCTGTTTCTTCTAGTAATAAACATATCAAATCACCAGGAACAATCCCATATGAAGCTAAAGTCTTCTCATCTTCTGTAAGAGCATCCTTGCCATTCAATGTTACTGAAAACTCTGTATCACAACTGCAAAATAACAGAACAAGGAAACACGGTTAGCTGCATTTAAATAGCTGTACACAGAGGTATAGTTAGAAAAACACACTGTGATCTACAAATTTTATTCCTTTGGGTTTTAATCCATCAGTAAGGTTCAACAAGGGCAAACATAGCGTCCTACACCTGGGGAGGAATGTCCGCATGTATCAGTACAGGTGAGGGGTTGACCTCCTGGAAAGGAGCTCTGTGGAGAAGGACCTGGGTGTCCTGGTGGGCAACAGGCTGGCCATGAGCCAGCAGTGTGCCCTTGTGGCCCAGAAGGCCACTGGCATTGCAAAGAGCGTGGCCAGCAAGTCAAAGGAAGTCATCCTCTCCTCTGCTCTGCTGAGGCCACATCTGGAGTGCTGTGTTCTGGGCAGCCCAGTTCAAGAAAGTCAGGAAATTTCTAAGAGGGGCCAGCAAAGTGCCAATGAGACGGTGAAGGGCATGGAGCATCTCCCATATCAGGAAAGGCTGAGAGCCTTGGCACCACTCCGTTTGGAGAAGCCTTGATGGCAGAATCTTATTAATGCTGATAAGAATCTAATGGGCAAGAGTCAAGTGGATGGGGTCAGGCTCTTTTCAGTGGTGCCCTGCATCAGAACAAAAGACACAAACTGGAATGTGGGAAATTCCACAAGAACTTGAGGAAAAACTTCCTTACTGTGAGAGTGACAGAGCAGTGGAACAAGCTGTTCAGAGGGGTTGTGGACTCTCCTTCCCTGGAGATACTCAAAAACCACCCAACTGCTTTCCTGTGTAAGCTACTGTAAGGAACCTGCTTTAGCAGGGCACTGGATTAGATGCTCTCCACAAGTCCCTGCCAAACCATGTAATTCTGTAATACTCAGCAATACATAATAGCAAGAGAGAGGAAATAACTAAAGTTTGAAGCTTTTCCCCTGTTTCTCTCCACGTACACTTTAATGGAAGCTGCTTGGTAAGTATCACAATTGCCCATAAAAGCATTACAAGGGAAAGCAAAGGGTCACTGAACCTGAGCCTTTCAGCTGCCTCAGGAATGGGCCACTTCTGGAGGTGTTTAACAGCTGAGGCAACAGGTTTGACCATGGAGACTGCCATGAGTTCCTCACACCTGAAACCTTCTGTGCTATCTGAACGCAGAGACTGTCCCCTTCTGTACTATGTGAAATAGACACCCTGCCGAACACTCTGTGAGACAAAGGCCACACAGCAGCGCTCAATCAGCTCCAACAGAGTCATAACCCATATTCCAGAGGCTAGCACTCCCCACAGTACGCCCTCCTTCCTCGCTCTGCTGCTGACAACCGTACAGCAAAACTCTTCGGAAGTTTTTATTAAGTTTCGCCTTACAACCGTTCGGTCCGCGCTCCTATATGAGGGTAGACGCCTCGCCAAGCCCGGGGCCAGGCCCCGCGCAACTCCCACACCCCTACGGACCCCTCCCCGCAGGGGGCGGCAGCGCCACATCCCGAGCAGGAGTGAGGAGGAAGAGAGAAATGGGCCGGGCCGCCCCGACACCACCCAGCATGGTACGGCCCCGCTCTCCGGCAGCCCCCCCGCCGCCGCGGGATGGTTCGCTCCGCGCACTACCTGTAGCCCCAGGCGGGTAGCAGGGCCCGGCGGAGCTGCGCGCGCAGCTCCCCTAGCGTTGGCTCCGCCCCCTCCAGCTCCAGCGGCGCCGTTCGCTTCTGCAGCCGCACACGAAGCTTCATGGCTGGCGGGGCCGACGGGGCCAAGCGCCTGCCCGCTTGACGCTCCGTGCGGGCCCCCGCCGGCTAACGATGGTGGCGGACGGCGGGCGCAAGGGCTGCCGGGGCGTGGCGGTGTTTGGGTTGGCGCGGAGCCGCCTCAGCCTCCGGCCGGCCCCGCCTCCGGCCGGCCCCGCCCCCGCTGCCCGAGGAGCTGTTGCTCGGTGTGTCAAGATGGCCGCAGCCGATGGCGCGGTGTGTGGGTTGCTGTTGCGCATGCGGGCGCGCACGCGTGGTATGCTGTGGCGGGGAGATATGAGATAGGAAGGCGGTTGTCAGCACGGTGCTAACTAAACTACGTCCATCAACGGTAAGGAGGGAAATGAGAGCGCACAGAAAGGGCACCGTGAGCACTGTGCCTGAGTCTTGGAGGAGGTTGGCTCTGCAATGTGTCGTGCTCCTTCAGCATCGCGACCGTTTTTGCAATGGCTGTGGATACCCTCCTCTGTTTTGCTTTTTAGTGTTGATCCTCTCACAGCCACCTCCCGTGTTTCCACTGTGCTCTTCTGAGAAATAAACGTTCATTGCTTTATTTTCAGCAGAAGCACCATGTTAGCCACTTGCACAAGCTAAAGAAGCGTGAAGTGAGATGCTTCTGTTCCTCAGAACCTGGCTGCACTAATTGATCCTTGTTAGTTAATCAGCTAATAAGCATTTCTGCTGCTGTTCTGACAATTTTTCCTTTGAATTTTGTAAGTCATGCCACAGGTTCAGACATGCTCTGCCCACAGCTCTAAATATTAAACAGGAGAAACTGAGAAACAAAAGGCTGAAATGGTATGCAGAGCTTCCATGTTGGCCTGTGCCCATTTCAGATGGCCCAAGTCCACTGTCTTATTTTTGTAATAAAAGGGAAATTATTTGATGAATGAATTTCTGTGCTATTTTGATTTTCTTTTGTCTGTAGGGGAGGGAACTCCAGTAATCAAGTATGAAACTGACCTCAGACCAGAGTGCCTCTGGTCAAGGCGCTTTACAAAAATAGTATGGAAATCATTGAACCATAAAATGGTTTAGGTCAGAAGAGACCTTGAAGATCACTGATTTCCCACTCTGTGTCATGGGCTGCCACCCTCCAGAGCTGAGGTTGCCCAAAGCCCCATCCAACCTGGCCTTGAGTGCCTCCAGAGATGGGGCACCCACAGCTCTCTGTGCAGCTGTGCCAGTGCCTCACTGCCCTCTGAGTAAAGAACTTCTTCCTAACATCTAACCTAAAGCTTCCTTCTTTTACTTTAAAGGCATTTCCCCTTGTCCTGTACGAAGTCGCTCCTCTTCCTGCTTATAACCTCCCTTCAAATACTGGAAGGCTGCAATGAGTTCAACCTGGAGCTTTCTGCAGGCTGAACCAACCTAACTCCCTCAGCCTTTTTATGCAGAAAAGGTACTCCAGTCCTCCAATCTTCGTGGCTCTCCTTGGGACCCACTCCAGCAGCTCCAGATTCTTGTACTGGGGGCCCCAGGTCTGGATGCAGTACTTCTGTGCTTACAAGTTTGAATAAATGGTTGTGTACAAGAGTTTTGGCTTTCAGCATGGTTCACTTTATCGGAATTGGTAACTTTTATTAGTCTAATCCTTTAAAAAAAGACTATACAATATAGTGACAAAAGAAAGTTCTTCGTCAGTATTAAGTAGCTGAAAATATGATTTTCATGGTTTTCATGATATCAACATAATTTTGCAATTCAAGTGCCCCACACACATGTGGTCAATGTAAAAAATAATAGAAAGAATTTCACCAAAGAAGTCAAACTATTGAGAGCCCTAATGGTAAAATTTATCTTGAGAAACTTGAAACTTAATGTAGCTCTGGACCTGTTGACCTGCAGTCAACTTCCCATGGTAGGGGAGGACTATAAAAAGTAAAGGTCTCTTTGGATCATTTGCATACCTTATGGAATATTTTTTTCTGAAAGCTGAGTGCAGTAATAAAGAGTGAACCAGTGGACCTTTTCCAGTGTTTTTCTTTCTATACTTACTACTGCAAAGAATGTGTTTTATAAAATATAAAAAATATACATTAAGCTGTAGGATTCTGATATTTTGAATGGCAGAAGTGGTAGGATGAGCAGATGGGCATGGAGAAAGCGGTATCATCAGGAGATCTGAAAATCCAGGGTACCATTCTGAGTGTGACACTGTCAGGGATGTTCAGATCTAAGCCAGTGGAAAGAACCTCCTGGCTTCTTGCAGCTTGATGGTGGTCAACTTTACTCCTAAAATGTATTTGAAATTCTTTATACTGGTGTTGTATATCTAACACCTTTAGCGAAGCTCTGCTTTACAACATCTCAGGTTGGCTGCTGGACCTTACTCAGCATCCTTACGCAGAACCTTCATGTGGTTCTTAACTGCTCTACTCCTGATGAAAATCTTAGCCATACAGAGCGCAGGACCTTCCAGTAGGCTTTCAAGGATTTGCTACATTGCTTTAAGCCCTTTTCGCTACCACCATGTTTTCCTCAGTTTGTGACTTAAGAGATTGCAGTGTAGATTTTTATAGTAAGAGGAGGCAGTGGGGCCATTGACAGCCATTCTGTTTCCTAAGCCTACAGAAAGCACTTTTTTGTGCTGTCACTTAGCACGGAGGCTCACTCATAGTGCTTCTTGCATAATGTCTCGTGAGTGTCACCATTTCTGTGAATGACTCCTCCTCGGAAGGAACTGAATATGTCACATTCCAAAGTGGCCATCTAATTGTTACTGGACATGAAAAAGCAGCACCCAGTGCTGCCTGTCAACATCAAAGTAGGGAAGTTGTCTCTATTTAGGATGACCCAGCAGCACTGCATGGTATACAACTACACAGGCAAGATTATCATTTTCATTTTTCATTATCATTTTTCTTCTCTGCAAATCTCCCTCCTTATTTCTATGTTTCTACCCACACCATAACCCCTGTTCTTCATTCTTCTACTTCTGTTTTCAATTTAGCATTCTATTAATATCAAGCTGATAGCAAGCTTTGGGTAAGTAGAGTGGTTATCATGATTCTGTGATTATAGGTATTGTGCACTGCCATGTGGGCTAGTAGGTGAGAAAATCATAGAATCATAGAATCATAGAATCACAAAGGTTGGAAAAGACCTAAAAGATCATCCAGTCCAACCGTTCACCTATTCCCAGTAGCTCCCACTAAACCACATCCCTCAACACAACATCCAGTCTTTCCTTGAACAGCCCCAGGGTCGGTGACTCCACCACCTCCCTGGGCAGTCCATTCCAGTGCCTGACCACCCTTTCCAAAAAGTAATACTTCTTAATGTCCAGCCTGAATCTCCCCTGCCGTAGCTTGAAAACATTCCCTCTGGTCCTATCACTAAAAATACCCCCAAACAGAGTAATTGTGAACATGTCTGCACAAATCTAAAAGCAGTTTTGCTGCAAAGGATAATCCAAAAAAGGGATTGCTTACTGTGATTGATTATATCAAACACTGCAGAGTAACATCTGATATATGATTACATGTTACCTTAGGCAAACCCACTTGTATTAATTGCGTGTATGATCCTTGTACAGGTAGAACCTAGGAAAGGTATCATAAAAAGCACAGCTTCCAGTGGTGGCAGGTGCATGTCCTAGGCAGCACAGGAAAGAGTTCTTCCATTATTATCTGCAATTGCCATGAATTGGGATAGTGTCTTCATTTTGCTGTTAATAGGTAACTGCATGCCAGAATTGGCATCCAGGAATCTACTCATGGGAAATCTGTCTACTATGCTGGTAGAAAAAACACTCTACTGTATCATTTATTTTGCTTTCCTTCATCATTCTTGACCAAAGATCAAAGTACTCCTCTACTGGAGGCTGTAAAAAATTTGACAGAGGTGTCCGAATCAGGAATGTCCTTCAGGACATCCTTCAGGACCAATTGGTCGCTATACCGTCTTTCCTCCAGAGCTGTCAGCTATGATGTGAGAACCTTAGATTGGAAAGGATCCTGAGTTGCAGAATATATGATCTTACATATCTTAGGCAATCATGTCCTATGTAAGATTTTATGAGTTTATCAAGGAAATGTTAGGGTACTTGAAGATCAGACTACCTCTCACAAGTACCTGCTTTTGTTCTTTATATATTTCTTTTCACTACTGAACTACTGAGAGCTATGTGCAGAGCAAAATTCTTTGGAGTTACACCTCAGAAACAGAGTTTGATATCTTTGCATTAGCAACACCCTTGCAATTCTTAGCTGTGAGGCCAGTGTGCAGTGTGAGAACACCAACTTTGTTAAATAAACTTTGTTAAAAGTGAATCAAGTAGTCCTGGTTCAGGTGCTAAGACAGGACAGTTACAGCGGTCAGGAATGCAAACTAAATGGATTAAAACAGTGGAAAGTGTGTGTTTGTTTTCCATCAGTTCATCAGACAACTGCCTTTCAACATAATTGTACATCATCAATGAGTTCTGTGTAGGCACTGCAGCTATGGGCGTTGGTTTGGTTTGGTTGTTTTTTCTGCGGCCCAGCACAGATTAGTAGCTCTCTGGCAGCTACACTCCAAGGCTTTCTAGTGGCAGTAGGGAGCAGAAGATCACCTGCTTTTATGTCCTTTAGCAAACTTCTCTGTATCATTTGCTGGATACTTTAAGCATTCCTGGCAATATCTCCTTCCCATTAACCATATAAATGTTGTATTCCTTTTCCCTTGAGTGATTTTCTGTATGGAATATCATTGTATAGGAAGGGTTAAAAACATGAAGCTATTGAGTCATTTTGATTTGATATTGCAGAGCAAGCTGCAGAAAGCATACCTATTCCTGAGTGTGCTGCTGAGTAACTGGAAGAAACGGAACAAGGAGGAAACTGAAAAGTCTAATCCCAGTTCTGTGCTAACAGCAGAGAGATTGTGAAACTAAATGCTCTTTCTGGAGTGCAGGTTGGGTTTATGCTGTTTTTTACTGTTGCATTTGAGAACTGTTTGTTTTGTGTTTCTTAACTATTCTTCGCTGAATTTTTGGAAGTGATAAAAATTCTTTCGTGGGCAGTGATTGAAAAGTTTGTTCAGGGCCAACACAAGACATTGACAACATTCTTTCTCAGGGATATTCTAAAGGTTGATCAATTTAAGATGGTGTGTTTTATGGCTGTGTTAAATGTGTTAAACAAGACAATAATAGTGACTTTTTTTGTTGTTGTTTTGTATCAAAGGCTTTGATTCTCAGTCAAACTTCAGCTGTTATCTTTATTGCAAGTTTCATTTAAGCTGTTTTGCAGACTTCACAAGGCAGAACTCTAATATCTGCATTCCAGTGAGAAGAGTACTTCATCAGGGTGAGACAAGTACACAGACTGAAGCAAAACAGTTTTTCATCTTTTTTCTTTATTTAAGATACTTGAACACTCTATCTCTGAAAAGACAAAAGAATTAAGAGAATTATTTATAGAGAGGAGTTGCTTGATATGTGCTCAGTTACTGAAGATAAAAATCAGAGCTATTTGTCTATCATCTGTTGTCATCAGCAATGAAATTGGCAGCTCTGATTTAGATTATCAGGCAGCTGATATCTTCCACCTCCTTAGTTTTGTCTGCTGTGGTCATCTGACTAAGCTTGTACAATCAACCCTGGCATATAACAGAGGCTTTGGTCTTTGATGAAATTGAGAATATCAGCCTTGGAGTGTGAATGTAAAGCTTGTTGATTTGAGAAAACAATATGAAGTGATGCCATCTTCTAGCACCATGAAAGTTCAGTTTGTTCTTTCAGTTTCACACTTGGGATACATTTAAGATATTAACAAAAGCATGTAACTACAAAGAGAAGAAGTAACTAAGGTTGCTGTTTTCTGTTCCTCAGTGGGAGTGAAATTCAATGACAATGAGGTACCTCACCTATGTTAGTGCTGCTAGCAATCCTTTTAGATAAGTTAGGTAAATATCTAGTATATATCTGCCTTATTTAATGATAGAAAAATCTGTCTTTTTGTTTTTATATTGATTTTTAATTGACTCCATAGAATTAGGCTAGAAAAAGTAACATTTGCAAGAAAAGCTAAGACTTCTTGGAAAAATGCTAGAGTTTGTGACTCCAGCTGGCTGTTTTACGTAACATTGCTACCTTAAATTCTTCATGTTGTGTTGATTAAAATAGAGAAAAGAAGCATAAAAACTAGAGATGGAAAGACCACGTAAAGAAGGATTTTCCAAATTTGTCTCAATTTGGATCATATTTTCAGATTCATCTGGTTTTTTGTTTGTTTGTTTGTTTGTTTTTCCCGAAGCTACTTTTTCTTGCATAGAATTTCTGGAGCGATTTCATGATTTTATGAAATTATTATGAAGTATTTCATGATTTATATGATTTTCTATTATTCTTATCTATGATTTCTATGATTTTTAAGGATTCCTTCAGATAACTGTTATCAGAACAACACTGATAAAGCATTTTGTCTATTTTACAGTCCAGAAGTCCCATGAAGAGCGGTATTTTATGAGCTACTGGGTTGATATTGGATTTGTAGCTGTTCGAAGTCTGGTCTCATTAGTATTAATTCCAGCAAAGAAGTAAGACTATCAAA